CTCTCCATCGCCCCCTGGTGGAGCACGACTTTTGATCGTCGACATCTCAGTTCAGCATGTTCATTTGATTGTGGGAGGCCAAAATTGATTGATCGCGATTGATATTCGATAAAATGTGCAGCCTATACATATCGATCAGATCCAGCTTAACATAGGTATACTACAGTGCTACAGCCAAAGGGTAACCCTGATTATAAACAGGATGGTTCTCCAACTCCAACCTTCTTAAAATAAGCCGTAATGATTTTTCTACACCCTACCGGCTGCAGTCAATAGGGTTGTTGTGGTGCTTAAACTGCCATTCAATTGAAAATGAGCTCACTCATTCCCCTTTACTCCCTATTCAATAAAAAGACATGGCTTAAGACGAAAACACCTTTATCGACTCTAATCATTTTAAGTAGCCGCCCCAGTGCGTGCTGCAAATAACACCAACACTCTAGTGACATTAAATGTGATTGGTCTGAAAATGAGAGAGGCAGAGCGAACAGGCTCCTCACCGGGTGATAAAGGGCGACACCGTGAACCTTTGTGGCCCCGCTGGGCCACCGTGCTCCCCGACCGACCGACCGCTCCCATGGCTTCGGTCTTCTGGCCCCGTTGCTAGCGTGGCCCCTGACGGTTTGAGCTGTGCCTTAAAGTTATTTTAAAAATGAAGCTTCACCGGAGAAATTACTTAACTATTCAGGCAGTGACGGCTCATACACGCTGTCTGACACACACACACACACCCACACACACACACTCGCAGGCAAACGCGGTGTGGCGTTAATCATTCCCCAGCGGCTGATAAAAACAGAGACAGGTCATTAAGACTCGACAGTGTTCATAAACTGTACTTCATCAACTGTCCTCCCCATTCTCACACACAGTCACAACTTATGTTGCTTTTTTTTCTTCCCAAAACCATCGTTTTTTTTAAACGTTCCGCTCCGTCTATGCGTCACCTACCCTCCGAACATTCTCTGCTTTCCCTCCTGTCTCTCTAAGGGTGAACGTTAATTGGGAGTGTGTGTTTATGAGCTGGCCCTGAGATTCTATCTTCTGCTTTCATTAGGAAGGGAAGGAGGCAAGGAGGGAGAGTCAAGGAAGTGAAGGAGGAGTGCGGGAGAGCAAGGGAGGGAGGGAAGGAAAGAAAGAGGAGTCAATCGGTCGATAGGGAACATGTAGAAGATTTCAGTCTCTGCTGTGGAGTGTGTGTGTGTGTTTGTTTATTTGTTAATGAGCTAATCAATAGTAGAGGTGTGGAAGCCCAGGAGAGGGTCTGCTTCTGGAGATTACTTACAGAGAGACACAACTTGTTTATCTGTTGTTGTTGGTTTTCTATTATGGCTCAACTAAAGTTCCTCAACTGGAGTTTCTCAATGTTAAAGTCTATCTGAAACATGCACTGCTTCATTCTGTCTCTTGTCAGCATTATATGATGAACATTTTGTACATTTTTCTAACAAAAAAATACTGAGTGTGCATAAAACAAACAGCCAACCAAGTCCTGTCACGTCAGACTGACTTTTATGGACTTTGTGTTTATCTGAACCTTTGAATCACTAAATGTTAATGTTGAACAATGCAAGCAGTGCCTCCCTCTACTTGAAACTTCAGGAGAAAATACTCGGTCGCTCTCACAGCGAAGATGTTCGTCTCGCTGATTAGCAGAGCCTCATAAATACCTAATCACTGATGCTAATCAGCCCTCTCACCTAGGGTTGAGCTATCAAATCACACACATGCTCACGTTAGCCTAACACACACATTCCACCCCCCCCCTGTCTGAATAATCCTGTCATCACAGGCATTTTAACATAACATTGCATTCATCCATTATTAATTGATAAACAGCATTTATCCACATAAACTAGCTATGACTGAGTAGCTTTTGCACCGTACTGGATTCTTGTTTGCAACATTATAAAAAAGACTTTGATTAACTTTTGATCTCACACACTAACTTCTGACTTTATTCTGAAATAGATCAAAAACAACAGCATGAAGGTGCCATCAGGGTTAGACTCCTTTTGCCTTTGAAGTCTACAAATGTCTGTAAAAGTCAAGACATGGGATGTTAAATACTGTGGCGTTGCACATCTTGATTAAACAGGAAATAAAGTCAATGCAATGATGAAACGAATAGGTAATTTTGAACACGACTAACCGTCTGTACGTTCACCATATCACGGTAAAATGCATATAATAACACGCAATCATTTTGCATGGCATTTTTGGAATTGCATAGATTATATATAACTGTAAAGCTGAGACTCTACTGGATCGAATGAGCCCATTTGTATTTACGTGCGATGACGTTAGTCCCCGTAGAACATTTCACACAGTGAGACCATTTTTTTTTTGGAAACTTGACGCCGCTGTATAAAATGTTGTCAACCTCTCAGGTAGTCACAGCGTAATAAAACTTTACAACCACAAACTACAGACCAAGTGCATTCAGAGGATGTACGGCTTAATTAGGTATGTTGACAATAAGGGGATATCCGAGCAGTTTCCAAAAACACAAGTACTCGCCATCCATTTGCCGAAAAATGTAATTCTTGCAGAAATTTCAAAAGTGTTATGGTGTGCCTCAAGGTCTCGGTGTCTTATTGTGGGATTTTTTTTGGGGGGGGGGAATTGGTCTCTGGTGACTGAGTGACACAGACAGAAAAGCATCTCATTTCAATTACCAAATGATGGTGATGTTTAGGAGCTGGACAGTGAACGTGAATAAAGGGTGAAGAAATCATTTGCATTAGAATGAAACAATAAATGAGCGCATGAGAAAAGAGGGAGAGGGGGGAACGTGACAGTCGCAGGTTAAACAGCTTACACCATAGGAGGGGGATTTGGGTGCCTCTGCTTGAGGGGGATATTAGCAGGATTAACTGGCAACCCTGTTGCTGAGGTGAATAACATTAGAATCCTATTTGTATAGACGACTATGCTTCCCGTCCAAAATCCCCCAGTTGCTCTCCACTCACACGTTCCTCATCCCACAATTAGTCTATATTCTCATAACACAGATTGCACTCACACACACACACACACACACGTGTAAAGAGCATGTTATGGATATTGTTATTCCTGTGTGTGTTCCTTTAACTGTGTGTGTGAGTGTTGTATGCCATTACTAGGACAGGCCTCTCTGCTCCCATAGGCCACCAGGCATGTGTGTCATACAGAGAGAACACCCTGAATACTAATATAGGAAGTGTTAGTGTCTGTCTTATGTGTGTAGGTCTTTGCACATCTGTATGCATGCACGTTGAGAGGGGGGTTGAGATTGGAGTGAGTGTGTGTGCATTTGAGTGTGACAGTGCGTACTATGAGGGTATTACGACTGAGTGCGTGCGTGTGTGCGCGTATGTGCGTGCTCTATGGACGCAGTCTGAGGTTAATAAATATTGACAGTGAGTTATCTCTTCTGGCAGGGTCGCAGGTGGGTTCGATGGAGCAGATTGGACACACCAGCGAGAAGAGAGAAAAACATACATGCGTCCGCCCACATGCCATGTTCAAATCCCCTTCCATTTCTTGTGTTATTCTCTACTCCACTGGCATTCAAGTGAGTCCTTGAGCAAGGCAGTAATGAACAGTCGCAGTCGTCGAGCACTTGACTGCCGTAATCACATTGCCAAGATAATAGAGCTGCCTTCTACCTCGCCGGTATATGGATTCTCTCCGCGGCGTCGGTTCCAGCTAGAGGGCCCCCCATCATATCGCAACACGGCAACAACACGGTGATTAGCTTCTGCTACACACTCGGATCAGAGAGCAACAGAGAGAGGCGCGGAGATAAACAACAAGAGGGAGATAAAGACAGGGGAAAAAAAGTGTTGCAGGACAGGAAGGAGAGAGGGAAAGAAGGAGAGAAAGAAGGAGATAGAAGGGAGCACAACAGGATGGTTTTTTTTACTGTGAAGCTACAGGATTCGTTCAACAGCTGAGGGACGGACACACATGAAGGTTTTATCCGGACCTCTCAATGAGAGTATGGGGAGCGGTGATCGATTAATGCAGCCCAACCCTGTGACATTGCCCAGTCATCACTCTCTCCCTGACACACACACGCCTCAGTCGGGTACAAAGCTGTAACGTGGTGTAATGGTGCATAAATGTGGATGTGGGGGAGTCAGTAAAGGGGAAAAAAGGGAGAACAAAATAAACACCTTTGCAAGGTCAAATGTGTTCCTGAAAGATCCCACGAGACAGATATCAGCACTCACACAGACGCTACAGCCTGTAGGATGTTGACAGCGCTTCCCTTTCAACTTCACACATCTATGTTAATGATCGCGACGCTTACAGAAATACACGCTGCCCGTAGGCTCGTAGCCACACGCAACCACATCCGATTTCAGCAGGCGTGGAGGTATATAGATGTACGTAAAGCTAGAAATACATTGATGTCGTTACATGAAACCGTGTCATATTATTGCTACAAAATCCCAGATATCCAGTTTCAAGTTGTCACACATTATTCATGCATCACTTTCAACCCTTACTAAGATCCTTTATATTCGTGGAAACTCTCTTTACTTTCTGACAGCAATGACATTATTGGATGGCTTACCTACCGACCCGCTTTATCTTGCCAGTGCTTCCACAAGGCTAGGCAGACAAAATTTCACCTGATACTACTACTATAAATATAAAGTACTACGAACAGCAGCCATGTTTGTTGTATACGTTCATCATAATGTGTTGGGTGGCATCTTACATGTGAATGAGACATGAGGTAGTTGGATACGGTTATCGACGACACTGATAGGCTGCGCTCCTCTCATGGACTCGTAGTCAGAATGTGCGTTTAATGTGTTTTGGGGGGAGTGGCTTTGAAGGAAGGCCTAAAAGGGAAGGGCTGGGATTTTTCATTCAGATACTTTTAAACTCTAGCTTACGCTTTCTGGTTTCCAAAGTTGCCTAATCCAAATTTGATGTCCTCAAAAAAACAAAGTGATGCATGTGTGTTCACAGTGCCCAGCCCTATATGTGAAGTATGCATGTACCTTTTTGAAGAGCAAGGAGTCGTCCATGTGCTCTGCGTAGACTGAGGTGAGCCTGTACTGGTTCTCAGTGGTGATGTCCATCTGATAGCCGGTCAGGACGTAGCAGACTGTGCGGAACTCCTGGATTTTCCTCTGAAACACCTCCTTCAGCCTCTGGTTCCTGAGCTCCGAGCTCTCCATCTGCTTGCGTAAATCTGAAGACGCACACAAAAATTAGGGCGGATACAGTCAGACATCCTCACAGTGTATTTTTGAAATCACATCACTCTTTATGCACATGATCAACATTCCCCTCTACGATTCTGAAACACTTGCGAGACTTCTTCTCCACGGAAGTACACGCTAATGCAGCATAGATGGCTGGCTCCATACTACACACTAGGCCCTCCATCTGCTCACTTAGGGTCCAACTAAACACGATAATGTGTGTCGCGGTGACTAAAGCAGTCAGCTGCGTCTCCGAAAACCAGGAGCAGAGAGGAGACGCTTGAAAATCTATTTGCGATGATGACTTTAATTGGAAGACTTGATTTGAGAAGGCAGAGGAACAACTTTGTCTGAGCAAAATAAATGAGTCGTTATGGAGGCAAGTATTCAAAATGTTATTAACGTTAAAAGCGATGCACATGAGTGCAATTGTGTATGAATATAATGTAACATTAGAGACTGGCAGAGTCATCAATAGTTAACATCATTTGATTGCCATTTCTATGACTCCAGCCAGAAGACGTAGTTCAGTTCGGAGGCATTTATGTGCGTGTTCTCCTCTTTTCTAAGATTCCATGAAAAGTGGACAAATTGCTCCGAATATAAATAGCGGAAAGTAGTTTCCTCAATCTTGTTCCTGCCATTTACAAAACGCTGCTGTACGTTGGCTTTCTTCTCATTTCTGCCAAAGTGAAACAAAAGTAAGTATTAATGCAAGAGCATGTAACAACAACAGGCAAGAGAACCAGAAACAATAGGGTGAAAAACAGTTAAGACCAAGACAGATAAAACGCTCGTTGATTAACACGGAGAGATTAGCTTGTGTTCATTCGTTTCTACTCGGTCAAAAGCATTTCAAATGTGAATTTACTTTGATGAGAATGATTAAACAACCGGGACTATTGACCCGTTTACAGCAAACACCGACAAGTCACCAATTCTCTTGTGCCGTCATAAACACATACGTCTCATATTCCTGCAGGAGCCTGGGGCTTCTACTCCTGCCTCGACCGATACGCATTCTTCCTCATCAATCTTATTTTCATACATCTTAGCCCATTACATTTTAATTTGTCATCATCAAACACGTATATGGCCAGGAAGTATAAACTTAGAGAGACTGCGGGTGTGTCTGTCTGGGTGGCCGTCCGTCTCCTGGGCTCCTCTTGAGTGTCAGTCAGCGCCGATAAATACTGTTTCAAGACTTCAGCATTGTGGCAAACCTGTCACTGTATGACAGCTATCAAAGCGCCCCCAAAATGGATGGAAATTCTCAAGTGACAGCAGGAAGTAGACGCCATTTAAATTTACTGCATTATGCAGACAAATGGACACGAAACGCTGGGAAATGAACATGTTATTGTCTGTCCAAAGACAGAAGTGTACACACACACTCGTGTGCCAAAATGTGTGTTGAGTCGCTAATTCAAAGCATTCGGGGTAAGAAGATTTTTACAACTGTCAAGTTTTGAGAAAGTTAGTGGTCTCTGACTTTTGCCCTTAATTGGTCTCAGCGGATCTCTGCGCGCTGTCTCCTAAAACCTGTCAAGACATTCTGAGGGAGGCGCTTAATTATATAGTTTCCAACCTGAACTACGCTCAAAGTCTGGTATCTGTAGAATGTAACATGGAGAAATGAAAACAATGGGTAATGACTCAAATCATCTGTTGTTTTACCAACAAAAAAAACCAGCAGGAGTTTAGGAAGAGTGAAGCATCTGCATTCTTGTGACTTCTGAAGACTAGTCAGGTTCAAAGGGAGAAAGGGAAACTGCTCTTCAGGTAAAACGTATGAAAATGAACTGTTTGTAAAAACAAATGAAAGCTTGAATCAATAGGTAAAATCACTCAGCGAGAAGATGGTAAAGCAGAGACGGGTTACAGCGGTAAAGGTAGAGGGAGTACTTCAACGGTTCCCAACCTGGGGGACCCGATCCCGACTGGGGGTCGCCAAAGTTTCATGGGGGGGTCATAGGCTATTCTTGATTTTAAAAAGTGTAAGGAAACGTCATTTTTTCCAGTATGCTGCATCAGAGGCAATATTCACAAGAAACAATCTGCTTAAAATTCGTCCAATTGCTCGTTTTTACAGAAACTTCCTGCAGTGATTGGGTGCACTATTTGGGTTAATTGTGCAGTGTATCAGTTGTTATGTGCCGTTAGTTATGCATTGAATTAAATATGAAATATACTGCAGTTTACTCCATGACGGGGAAAGTAGTCCCTTAAGGCAAAAGGTTGGGAACCACTTAAATCCCTGGCTACATTACAGACCACTATTAAAACCTGTCACTGAAGTCTAATCTATGTAAAAGCCCCACAGCAGAAGTGAAGTGTGTGCTCAAAAGCAATGTGTTCAATCACATTTTAAACTTTCCACTGCAAAGTAACCCTCAGGATGCGCCTGGGCGGCAGCAGCAAAAAAAAGTAAAAAGACATCAAAACACAGTCATAGCTAGGAATGATACTTACCAACAGCAGCTTCATCCAATGGTTTAATTCAATTAAAAAAAAAGGGTATTCAAGTGCAAAAATGAGCCAAATTAAAGAATAAGTCCCGTCGCTGTAATCCTCCGCTTCATTTTACATGTTTTTTTGAAATCCTAATTGTTTAAAATCTCATTAGAAATGGAATAGAGCATACTTAGCTCTGCGGTCACTGACAGCAGGGCTCACTTATACGTAAACATCGTCGTCTATTCACACTTTCCGGCTGCATTTAAAAATCTTCTTTTTAGAATGTAAATGAACGTCTCACGAGTGCATTCATCGTGTTCGCACCACAGCAATTTACACAAATCTGCGAGATACTGTTTATGGAGAATACATGGAAGATAAGACATCAATCACTAATTTATAGTGACATGAAAATGATCCAACTGACTAAAATCATGATATTATTAACAATGACTCAATATCCACAATGTATTGCAGCACAATTAAGGATTTTTATTGTATTAAGAGGAGATAATAACTTTTAAAAGGTCTATTTGAGATCATTTCTTAATTTCACAAGTGACTCTACCGGGTTTATAACTAATGTTTAGTCACACGGAGCATATGAAGTAATACTTTGTTAAAGAAATCGGTGCCACTCTCAAAGACATGACAGTCACTCCGTTTCTCTTTGATACCTTTTCAGACTTCCCTTTGGCCCTGGTTTGAAGATAAGAACAGATATCACACATTAAGTCTGTATTCTCTAATACAAGTTAAATTGAGCACACCGGTAAGAAACTCCGTTATCACCTCGGGAGAAGAATGGGTCTGAAGCAGACAGAAACGACAGAGAAGAGACAAGCGTGGAAGGAAGTGTAAAAAAAAAATAATAAAAGGAAAGAGAGAGACAGAAGAGTGAATATGAGAGAGAGAGAGAAACAGACAAAAGAGTGAATATGAGAGAGAAAGGGAGAGACAGACAGAAGAGTGAATATGAGAGAGAGACAGACAGAAGAAGAGTGAATATGAGAGAGAGAGCGAGAGAGAGACAGAGAGCCAGACAGAAGAGTGAATATATACGAGAGAGAGAGCCAGACAGAAGAGTGAATATATATGAGAGAGAAAGTGAGAGAGCGAGAGAGAGACAGAAGAGTGAATATGAGAGAGAAAGAGAGAAAGCGAGAGAGAGACAGAAGAGTGAATATGAGAGAGAAAGAGAGAAAGCGAGAGAGAGACAGAAGAGTGAATATGAGAGAGAGAGACAGAAGAAGAGTGAATATGAGAGAGAGAGAGAGAGAGAGAGAGACAGAGAGCCAGACAGAAGAGTGAATATATATATATGTATGCATGCATGCATGCATGCATGCATGCATACATGTATGTATGTATGCATGTATGCATGTATGTATGCGAGTGAGTGAGTGAGTGAGTGAGTGTTTGAGTGAGTGAGAGAGAGAGAGTATGAGTGAGAGAGAGAGTAGAAGAGTGAGAGAGAAAAGAAGAGTGAATATGCCAATATAAAAATTAGCCAACAGACTTCCGGCGATGAACCGCCCTGAACTCTACTTAAATATTTAACCCCGTCATAGCGACACCTTCCTCATCCAGCTGTCTGTCATGTACTCACACCTCAGAGGACAAAGGCCTCAGAGGACAAAGGCCTCAGATAGCAGTGAAGCAGTTCCCTTCTCACGTCGGTTTAGGTGGCAGCCAGCAGAGGGCGCCGGTTAACGGTCTGAAAGGGAACAGGACCGGACGACTGGTCGACATGTGCTGTGTGGAAAGAATATCTTACGCTTCCTTTAAGTTAACAGTGACATGTTACCATGTCTTCTTACCCACGCTTACCTAAACCCCAGTAATCAAATAAGTTAACGTTCAAACATACTGAACTGTCCTACTGAACGGAGCGGTTTCTATCGTACATTGAGGAACTTGTTACTACCCAATTACAGCTGGTATTGAGCCCTTCCTGAGCATGTACTTACGGGGTCCTAACCCTCTGAAGCCCATGCTGTCCTCTCCTCAATACTCAGTCGAAGGTTCACAGAACTGTTGGTCTCAGTCAGTCATGGCTTCCGAGTCGCGCTGAGGAGCGCAGAATTTAAAAGGTTTTTACAGGGTCTGTTTAGAGTAAACGGTTTTAGGTGCGAAATGTTAAATGAAACATTTAGAATAAAATGCTTTTAATGAAATATCACAATTTCAGGATTAGTTTCGGTTCCCATCCCAGGGATTCAGAGTGTTGGTCGTGATTTATTTCCCCATTAAATGTGTTCTGTGGCCCTTCTCTGGCTAACTGGATGCAGACTGTGTGTACAAACCTGCAATTGGTCCCCTATTTCAGCCAGCGCTCTCTTCCCCTTCTGCTATCTGCACTAATTTGCAAAAGCACCATCGCTGCATCCTGTGCCTGGAGCCGCCCAAGACAGTGATGGGTTTAAAGAAATACAAACAAACCAGGGTGTGTTGTTCCCCTATAGCAGACCTTCCTCTATGCTGACACAGCGCTGTGGAGATAGGTCTGGCCCTAAGCTCGGCTGTGTAGTGTTGTCACGATATTAGAATTATGACTTTGATATGATACCGGCCTAAAGTGTCTGGGTACTGAAACGATACCACGGCAAAAAACATCAGGGAAATGAACGGGATAATAGACGACAGAACATTTAAATTATTATTATTCTTTAATATAAAAATAGCACATGTTTTGACGATGTCATTTCAAGGCAGTGGAGGGAGGGAAAAGAAGCCGTAAAACTACAGGAGTGTATTATTGTACCATAGTGTGTTAATACATTTTAATATCCCACCGGTTGTGGAGAAACTCTTAAATTAGCTCAGCTTTACGTTCAAATCTCTCCAGAGAGAGATAAGAAGGGGCAGTAGTGGAAGCCATTTTGTTTAAGCTACAGTACTTGCAGAACGCCGGACGGTCGGCAAGAGAACTTGTATTTGCAGAGTGCATATGAGAGAGAGAGAGAAAAACGCCCACTGTATCGGCACAAATAAAACGGGGTATTGAACCGTTTTAACAGCAGATACCTTTCTAGTATCGATACACGGTGTTCAGAGCCATAAAGTACTTGTGGTATTGTGATGCGTGTCTATTTGTCAGTTGTTGATCTTACCCAGAACCTCCTTCGACGGCGGTAAACTGAGGCTGCGGCTGGCGGCGTGCACACCGGAGTCGTCTTGCAAATGGACCGAAGCACCTCCATCCTGCAGCGAGCGCACCAGCTCCCTGAGACACGTCACTTCCTCCCGAAGAGCCTCGACATCCTGCTGGCGCTCCTGCTTGGCGGCCGCGGCCGGGTTCATTTTGAAGTGGAGAACTCGGGTTTTGACGGGATCGTAGTCTCCCTGAGACAGAGACGGACAGAAAGACCAGACGTCCATTAGTCGGAAAGCTTGTCTTCAGGTTTCTTTAACGTGAGTGGTATACAATTTTCTGAATTAAAGAAATAGACATGACACGCTGAACCAATGTGTTTGTGAAGGAGTGCTTTGTAAACTGCTACTTTCCCATTAAGTTGCAGTTTCACCCCTGACTGTAGGGCCATGACTAAGTATTTTAAATGAACAATTATTTGATTCATATTTTAACAAAAAAAGTCAAGACAAGAGTCAAAAAGGAGGATAGCTTCTCAAAGTCCTGGGTGACATCTGCAAAGGCCTCGATTTGTTTTGACTGTCCAAAACTCAAAGATAATCCATTCACAATTAACCAAAAACAGAGAAAAGCCTCAAATCCCTCACACTGAAGAAGATGAAACCGGAGAACGGTTGATATTTATTGTTTACAAACAAGATGTAAACAAGTAACCGATTATATATCGGCTGTAAACGACTACACAAGGTCAGCCTTTGTTCAGCCCTTCATTCATCCGTAGTCCATCCAGGAGCGTCTGGTCTTGGTTTGGATGAACGAGGACACGGGGCTGAAGAGTATTTGTATCGAGGAGAGAAAATGTCTCTCTTGTCCCGTCCTCATCCCCCCCTATTGATCAAGTAAACAGCATTTGAAGTTCTCGCTCATAATAACTCACAGGCCTTTAGAATGTGTGTGCTGCACAAAGCTACAGCACACACAACACCAGATACGTGTGGTGAAAACAACATGGACCGACTTTCATAATCAAAGAGTTTTATAGAACCCATGTGGTATAAAAGTGGTTTCCAGGAAATCAATCCGTGCTTTCAGTCACAATGACTCAAGAAAACTTGTACATTTGAAATATTAAGCACTCTGTTGCCATTTACGCCGCTATTCATTTTTCATTTTGTCGACTGGAGTGCTGCTAAAGAGGTTTCTGGGATGTAATAAATGGCCCTCGTCCACATTCTCTTAGTGTACCGCTGTGAGACCGTGGGTAGTGAAACACAGTTTTTTTGGGATGAAAGTTTGAAAGCATTTTTTTAGTACTTTAGGTCACTATATTATTAAGTCTGACCTTTCTTGGTCAAGCGACAAGCCTGTGCCAAAAAAAGAAAAAAAGCACAGGAATATTTACACCCTGCACAAAGGTTATCCTTTGATTCAACAAGAGTATAGTTCACTTTCCAGAAAGATACCAGAACATTTCAGGAGAGCAGGTGCATAGCACAAGTCAGGTTTCTATCCATAAATGTAGCGCAAATGTTGCAGAACATGAGCAAAAAGGAAACGCGAATGAATGTGCAATCTCCGTCCACCACCGTTCGAGCGCATCGAGGTAAACAGCTCGCGGCGCTAATTCTCCCGCCGCACTGCGTAATGAGAGGGTGAGGACGTGGAACAACATGAAGGATTCATGGTTTGTTTGGAACCTTCTTCAAATGAACAAGTCTCCACATTGGTACACACATATATTATGTTATGACAAATAAATCGCATGCTTCAGGTACGTTTAGATATATTTGATAAGTCTGTTTCCATCGCATTTTATTTTTATCTGAACCCTGACTTTTCAAGCTCAGCCAAGCATGAAAATTTTCCGGCGTTTCCAGAATGAAAGTTTTAAACATCCCGACTCTCACAAGGTATAGCAGCAATCTATTGAACCCCTTTTGTAGCTTACGGTTGCGGTTATTCGGCACACGGGTGAAGCGGCTCTGTTGTGTAGGAGGCGGGGCATTTGGAATTCAAAACGAGCAGCCTCATTTCCAACAAAGATGTTTATTTTCTGTGCAACCTATGACTGGTCCGCTTTGCCTAGCCTGCCAAAAAATCCTCTCTGCAGAGGCTACAGGAGCATAGAGTGAAGTTATGAGCATCACACTGCCTACCTGCTTTATTTCCCAGCGTGCTCCTCTTTGCCCTCAGCACAGTCGACCACAGCAGCAGAGGGGCCCCCGCTCTGATTTACAGCCAACGCAAGGAGCTTTTAATGTGCTGTTGTGTTTGAAGCTTAGAAACACATATGTGAAGATATATATACAGTTGTGTGAAAAAGTGTTTGCGCCCTTCCTGATTTCTTATTTTTTTGCATGTTTGTCACACTTAAATGTTTCAGATCATCAAACTAATTTAAATATTAGACAAAGATAACACAAGTAAACACAAAATGCAGTTTTTAAATGAAGGTTTTTATTATTAAGGGGGAAAAAAAATCCAAACCTACATGGCCCTGTGTGAAAAAGTGATTGCCCCCTAAACCTAATAACTGGTTGGGCCACCCTTAGCAGAAACAACTGCAATCAAGCATTTGCGATAACTGGCAATGAGTCTTTTACAGCGCTGTAGAGGAATTTTGGCCCACTCATCTTTGTAGAATTGTTGTAATTCAGCCACATTGGAGGGTTTTCGAGCATGAACCGCCGTTTTAAGGTCATGCCACAGCATCTCAATCGGATTCAGGTCGGGACTTTGACTAGGCCACTCCAAAGTCTTCATTTTGTTTTTCTTAAGCCAATCAGAGGTGGATTTGCTGGTGTGTTTTGGATCATTGTCCTGCTGCAGAACCCAAGTGCGCTTCAGCTTGAGGTCACGAACAGATGGCCGGACATTCTCCTTCAGGATTTTTTGGTAGACAGCAGAATTCATGGTTCCATTTACCACAGCAAGTCTTCCAGGTCCTGAAGCAGCAAAACAGCCCCAGACCATCACAGTACCACCACCACATTTTACTGTTGGTATGATGTTCCTTTTCTGAAATGCCGTTTTACTTTTACGCCAGATGTAATGGGACATACACCTTCCAAAAAGTTCAACTTTTGTCTCGTCAGTCCACAGAGTATTTTCCCAAAAGTCTTGGGGATCATCAAGATGTTTTCTGGCAAAACTGAGACGAGCCTTTATGTTCTTTTTGCTCAGCAGTGGTTTTCGTCTTGGAACTCTGCCATGCAGGCCATTTTTGCCCAGTCTCTTTCTTATGGTGGAGTCATGAACACTGACCTTAATTGAGGCAAGTGAGGCCTGCAGTTCTTTGGATGTTGTTCTGGGGTCTTTTGTGACCTCTTCGATGAGTCGTCGCTGCGCTCTTGGGGTAATTTTGGTCGGCCGGCTACTCCCGGGAAGGTTCACCACTGTTCCATGTTTTCGCCATTTGTGGATAATGGCTCTCACTGTGGTTCGCTGGAGTCCCAAAGCTTTAGAAATGGCTTTGTAACCTTTTCCAGACTGATAGATCTCAATTACTTTGTTTCTCATTTGTTCCTGAATTTCTTTGGATCGCAGCATGATGTCTAGCTTTTGAGGATCTTTTGGTCTACCTCACTTTGTCAGGCAGGTCCTATTTAAGTGATTTCTTGATTGAGAACAGGTGTGGCAGTAATCAGGCCTGGGTGTGGCTAGAGAAATTGAACTCAGCTTTCCAAAGATGTGATAAACCACAGTTAATTTATGTTTTAACAGGGGGGGGCAATCACTTTTTCACACAGGGCCATGTAGGTTTGGATTTTTTTTCCCCTTAATAATAAAAACCTTAATTTAAAAACTGCATTTTGTGTTTACTTGTGTTATCTTTGTCTAATATTTAAATTAGTTTGATGATCTGAAACATTTAAGTGTGACAAACATGCAAAAAAATAAGAAATCAGGAAGGGGGCAAACACTTTTTCACACAACTGTATATATACACACATACACACAACAATTAATAAATAAGTAATTCAAATATTTTCAGCAAATGTTTCTTTATATCTCGATGCCATTTCACTACAGTCCAAAATGTAATCAAAACAGACTAACAGCAAATTACGTAACATCCAATGAGTGGTGAATACAGATGGATGTTAGCGAAGAGAAAAAAACCACAGAACAGGAAGCAAAAGCTAAAATGGAAACGTTTTGTTGTTTTCCACAGCACACATGATTTCCTTTGTTTGCTTGTGACTCTATAAGGTCTGGGTAAATGAGAAGAGTCTATCTTAGCTTAATGCCAATAAAAGGAGAATCACACAAAACAGGAACACACACACACACACACACACACACACCAATCTCAGCTCTTGATTACTGGCTAAATTAGATTCCACGTGCCCCAAAGCGACTGTTGCCAAATAAACTGCGGGCGTGTGGGAGAGCAAGAAGCAGACGAGGAGAAATGGTGAAGCAGGACACGGAAAAGAACACGGTAAAAACAAGGAGGGTAACGTTGCCTACAACGTATGGGGAAAAAACAGCATGGACAAAGAGGAAAAAGGCCTCGCACGCTTATAAATAACGCTTTGTATAATTTAGAAAGGAACAGAGTGATTGAGCTCTTCTAAAATCAGAATGCGTGTATTTATATCACAACATTTTCAACCGGACTGCGCACACACACACACACACACACACACACACACACACACACACACACACACAGCCAGATAAAGTCAAAGCTTATTTGCTAAATCTTTTGAAGTCCTACATCTGTATACGGAGGGTTTATTCGAGGATGCCTCTGTATGGGTGTGTTGTGATAAACAGCCAGAGAAAATAGAAGGCAGAGCCAGATAGTGTGAGACAATATGTAGATTAGAGCGCAAAAAGAAGAGCCAAGTCCTCAAAATGCAGCCAACTGCTACGTGCTGTCGAAAAGCAGAAAAAAACTCTTACAAACATACTTCCTTGAAATTAGGCCAAGCGAAAGAAAATTAGAATGATTTGGCCGTGGAATTCATACTTTACTTTTTTTTGGATGCCTGGACTGAGCCGCGGGGCAAAGTTTTAATTGACTGCTCAACAGCAATAACAAAGGGAATGTATTTCTCTTTGGCATTAAAGCGCATCGCTTTCAGAGCAAGCCAGGAAATAGCATAATCTTTTTTTAATTGGTTGAACTCTCCTCATGTATCACAATAAAGTGAGAAAATGGGGAGAAAAAAAGGCCATCTTCCATTTTACCTGCTGTGCAGAAAAAGAGGGCAAGAAAAAATAAAGGAGTAATCAGGTGATT